GTGGGCATGGAAAGGGAAGGGTACTATAAAATATCCAGTCCCTCCCTACTCCAGAGGAAGGTTACTGCAAAATCCCCATTTCCTCCCAATCAGCTGGGACTTGAGAGGCAGAGAATAGATGGGGGCAGGGCCAGTCAGAGGTGGTATTTACTGGTTCTCTGAATTACTCAAAATTTCCGCCACCGGTTCTCCAGAACTGGTCAGAACCTGCTGAATACCACCTCTGCCCATGCTTCTATGTTAGATGTAGTTCAGTAGTGGGTTCCGGTATGGTTGCAACGAGTCTTACCATCCATTGACGCTTCCGCAACACTCCAGCTGCTTGGCGGAGCATTGCACAGGAGCTGTACGTGCTGTGCGTATAAGCGTCAAAGAGTTTAAAGACAGGTAAGGAGCGTGGGCGGGCCCTCTGGAGCATTGTACCGGAACAGTATCCTGTGCTCCAGGCAGGCTCCAGGACACCCGTACCGGGGTGTACCGCCTGCAACCCACCACTGATGTAGTTCCATTGAGGACTAAATGCTGAATGGATCAACCAACTGCATATCCATCTGATGGTAGTATCTTACTAATAATAGACTATGGTCTACTTAGTCAAATGCCTTACTGAAGACCACAGCATTTCCTTGATCCACTAATTTTGTCACTTTATCAAATAAGGCAATAAAGTTTGTCTGGTATGATGTTTTTAACAAACCTATGCTGGCTTCTAGTAATTATCTTACTTATTTTTAAGTATTTCCAAATCCACTGCCTGATTATCTTTTCCAGGATTTCCCCCTCTGCTGTTTCAGAGAGTCCTGCTTTTGGTAGTTGGACTATTTTTCCTTCTGCATGAAGAGATACCAAGAAGGAATTAAGCTGTTCCACTTTCTTGCTGCAGCCTATAACCACCTTGCCATCTTCTCCCATTAGTGGACTGATCATTTCCTTGAATTTCTTCTTGTTCCTTACACATTATTTTTGGCAGTTGTTACAAGTCTTAGTTCATTCTGAGGTTTAGGTTTCTTGACTTGGTCCTTGCAAACTTGGGCAGTTTGCCAGTATTCTGTTCTAGTTATCTGCCCCCCTTTCCATTTTTATACTTGTCCTTTTTGTCTTGGTTACAATTATCTTGCTTATCATTCTAAATTATCTTCTGCATACCTAGTCTATTATTTTTTTCCAATTTCCACCTACCATTTCCACCTCTCTTGACACATTTCCCCAAAAATTCCATTTTCCTTTTCCTCCAAGCATATGCCAAGTCATTATTTTCTGTTCTTCCTACAGATCTAGAGCAGGTTTTTCATAAGAACAAGGAAAAATGCAATTGAAACTGATAATGAAGGCACTTATAGCAAGGCAAGTATAAAATCTTTGTAAGACTTTCATCCTTCTCAGGCATAACAACAGAACTGTATTTATAACCAGAAAAGATCAGATGCTAAGAAATATTGAAATCTGCAAGTTGCTTACAAAGAGTACTTTAGCATTTCTTTTTGACATTGTAAGAGCTGATTCAATTGTATAAAAATTCAGGATTAAGATTAACAAGAGCTCATCTAAATAAGCGAGGCAAAAGTTTTAGTTGATGAAAAGAAAGCATGTCGTTTTTATTATATTGTATTAATTTTTTTTCTAAAGCCTTTTTCTTAACAGTTTGTACATTTGCAATAAAACACTTTGCCCTAATAGATATTAAATACTAAGAAAAAATTAATATCCCAATCTGACATCACAATTTATTAAGGATCATATCTAAACAGGAATTATTTTTAATATTAAAATTGTACTTGAAGTACATGACTTTACATTTAACTAGCTTGAGTCTTTAATCACTTGATATGTTTCGGTTTATAGGACACACAGTATTTTTAATACATGAAATTTGATACACCAATTATGGTTGGTGGAACATAGTGTGGTATGCTTGCACACTCTTAGGTTCTTTGTTTTGGACAATAATTTGTAGACATTCAGCTAAGTATAAGATACTTATTCAGCTGTTTTTAGTTTTCAATTTTTTGCCTGATACTAGAGGTATTGCAAATTTTACAGTGAAAAGAGTAGCATTATGTATGATAGAGGAAAGTAAATATGAATCAAGTTGAAATTTCTATGAAATTTACATTTATAAAAAGGCATATAAAAGGTAGTATGCATATTTTTTCTTCTCCAGTATAGTTTCTTTATATGAAGAAAAAAGTTTCTAAATATTTGAGGTGGTATGTTGTTTTTTAAAAAAAGATTTAATATTTTTCCTACAGTTCTATAATACTGAATTCAGACAGAATCTCAATCTATAGGACCATGCATTCTAAAAACAGTCTGGGACTTCAAGTAAATATTTGTACATCAAATGTTTAGAAATACCAAAGCACATATCTTCTGGCACTACCAACCTGTATTATGTCTTTTGCAAGCAATCATTTGGGTAATGAATGAAAATAAAGATTCTGGTTTCTCAATTGCACTTCCCTTACGAGAACAGAAATCTATGTTGTGGATTCAAATCTTACAAGTGAAAGCATAATCAAGATGTTAAAAAAACAATTCCCATTTTTATACAGAAACCATTTCCATTGTTGTCAATTTTTAAATTTTGAATACCCACTGTTCAAGAGTATTTATTATTAGTTTTACAAGGCATTCTTGTTTCTTGCAGAATGACAAAATGTATGTGGAAAGTTCAAGCAATGTCCAAATGCTGATTGCAGTTTCTTTAAACAAACATATTCTTCAGTCATATTTTCTTTTTCCAATTTCTGTGGCTCTGACCTATCAGTTTGTGTTTTCTGTTTTTATTAGTTCTTTGATGATGTTCAAAATTTTGTCATCTGAAAAAAAGAAGTGTAAAGTAAGAAATAATAAACTTAATTCTTGTCACCACTCAAAATTATCATGGGTGTATTGTCAAATGGCCAAATGCACTGTACTTGGCAAAAAAGGCCACATAGAATTGCAAGGCCAGAAAATTATAAATAAGAAAAAGTTAGCATCTCAACCGCTGGCATCGTTAAGCTGCTTCACATAGTTTAATTAAAGTACAAACCATAGACTCAAGTTTTTTCCCTCTTTCTTATAGTTTCATAATCACTGAATGCCCATTATATGGAAATAGTTATTTGTTTAGGACTTGCTGCCACTGACTTTACCACTGAATTTTTGTTTAGTTTCCAGGCACTGAAAAACTTTAACTTCTCCCCCCAAAATTGATTAAAATTAGAAATCTTTTGCTAGCCTTGCCCTCTAAATTCAATGATGTGATTCACTGAAGATCTTGCTAGTGAAAAGTAATGACTGCATATGGTAAGTAGCTATACCTATCCTACAAGGTAATTTACGTGTTTTGTAGGAAAATAACCATCTCCCATATGCAGGAACCATCTCCCAAAAATGGAAGAAGTTTTCCCACATATCTTACATATATATATATTCATTCATTTTTTCATGGCAACATAAAAACAATAAAATTACCTTCAAGGGACATTTTAGGGTTTTCAAGTTTTTGCTTTAAAACAGACTCGATGAGTGCTCTTAGTTGTTTGAAAATTACTGCAATTTTTACAGGGGCCTGTGAAAATAATGTCGAATTGATTATTTTATAAATAAATAGTAAGATTAAAACAATTTTAATGACTATGGCATTGAGACAACTTTTGGAACACATTTGCCTGGAGAGACGTAATGATGCTGCTTCAAATTAGGAAGGAGTCAAGAATTCCAGTGTTAGAACTTATTCTATTTATAACCAATGCACAGTTATTCCTTATTAAATCGGTTTCCTGTTACATCCCATTCAGGTCAGTATGAACTAATTAGTAATATTTTAACAGGAGGTCCTTAAAATTATAGTTACATAAGTTAGATGACACAGGAAACCGCAATACCTCAAACTGAATGGAGAAAACACTCAAGCCAGTGACCAAAACATTATTTGTGCTATTTTTTCTTTACAGAATCTGAGAAGGAAACCTGGTAAGTTTGAAAACGCTTATTATCAATAAATATGACAAATCCATTTCCTTTGTAATCTGCTTTCTATCAGAATTTAACTGTCTATGGACTTTGCACACTAAATGAAAACACAGTTCAGTGGTCTAACAGGATGCTTCTTAACTCACACATAACGTAAGATATACCTGAAAATGGATCCAGCCATCAACTGATAAAAGGCGTTCACGATGCAACACTTCTATGTCTCCACCAAAAAGTAATATTGGAAAGGGGGAAATTAAGGTTGTTTCTTTCAAGAACACCCTGGCATATCTGATCTGAATGGAAAAGGCAAATACAATTAATTTGGTTTATCAAATTTCTGTTTTTCATGCAGCAATTGTTTTTCTACCTAGAGAATTCATTTTTATACCCATTTGAAAATATGATTTAAAAAGCATTATATTCAAAGTCCTTGTCAAAATGTTGATGCGTACAAGAATAAAAGTACTTTTTAAAGGACATACTTGCATAGTCTAAATATTCTGCAAGCTTTAAATAAGTAGCATTGGTACTTACAAAATTATAGCACTATATATCAATTTAACAACAAAACAAACTTTCTACATAAAAATAGTATGAAAAAAGGCATCTGCACATAAAGCACTTCAAGATAATTCAGTCTTGTGATAAGCACTCTACTGATATTTGATCAGGCTACTTTTATACAGAATGGCTAGAGTCCACCAATCAACTGCACAAGCTAAGAAAAGCTTTGCTAGCTTAATAAAGATGAGCCTCCATTAATAATAATGGTCTAGTTGAACCCCTAAAAGAGAGCAAACCAAGTCTGTAATTCCTGGATAAAAGGACCCACTTAGTGCAGCATCTAAATTTTACCAGG